TTTTGTTTCTTGAGACAGGGTCTCAGTCTGTTACCCAGGCTGGAGTGCAGTGATGTGATCAGTGTATATCCACACTTAAGGGGAATGCGAATGGGAGACATCCTGGTTGTTTTGGTGTTTTATTCGCTTTTTAGAGATGAGGGTCTGTGTTGCTCAGGCTGGACTGGAACTCCTGGACTCAAGTGATCCTCTCAAGCCACCTCCCAAGTAGCTGGGACTACAGGCATGCACTGCACATGGCTTGTGTTTTGATTCAGAACAGGTAGAAATTCATCTGTATGAATTTCTGGATATCAGGTAAATTAATTTCTACCTGTTCTGAATCAAAACAAAAACAAGCCATGGATGGGAAGGGGTATAGGAAAGTGGGAGGCAACACCCAAGTTCGAAAAGGCTTGTGTGGTGGGGAGAAAAGCCGCACACCTGTAATTCCAAAACCTTGGGAGGCTGAAGTGGGAGGGCTGTTTGAGCCCAGGAGTGTGAGACCAGCCTGGGCAACATAGCAAAACCCCATCTCTACAAAAAAGAAAAAGAAAACGAAACAAAAAACAGAAAAATAGTCTGGGCATGGTGGCTCATGCCTGTAATCCCAGCACTTTGGGAGGCCAAGGCAGGTGGATCACCTGAGATCAGGAGTTTCAGACCAGCCTAACAAATATGGTGAAACCCTCTCTCTACTAAATATACAAAAATTAGCTAGGCGTGGTGGCACACACCTGTAGTCCCAGCTACTTGGGAGGCTGAGACAGAATTACTTGAACCCAGGAGGTGGAGGTTGCAGTGAGCCAAGATTGCGCCACTGCACTCCAGTCTGGGTGACAGAGTGAGACTCCATCTCAAAAAAATAAAAAGAAAAAAACCCAGAAAAACTTAGCTGCACATGGCAGCGTGCGCCTCTGTACCTGTAGTCCCAGCTAGTTGGGAGGCTGAAGTGGGAGGATCACTTGAATCTGGGAGGTTGAAGTTGCATTGAGTCATGATCACACCACAACATTCCAGCCTGGGCAACAGAGGGTGACCCTGTCTCAAAAGAAGAAGAAGAAGAAAAAAAAAAAGCTGGGCGTGGTGGCTCACGCCTGTAATCCTAGCACTTTGGGAGGCTGAGGCGGGCGGATCCCAAGGTCAGGGGATCGAAACCATCCTGACTAACACGGTGAAACCCCATCTGTACTTAAAAAAAAAAAAAAAAAGTATCCAGGTGTGGTGGCAGGCACCGGTAGTCCCAGCTACTCGGGAGGCTGAGGCAGGAGAATGGCGTGAACCTGGGAGGCGGAGCTTACAGAGAGCCGAAATTGGGCCACTGCACTCCAGCCTGGGCGACAGAGCAGACTCAGACTCCAAAAAAAAAAAAAAAAAAGACAGAAAGAAAAAACCCCGGAAAGTCAGGTTTCCTGCATTCTGCCTTTCTAGGCAGGGCCAGAATAAGCTGCTGCCGGGTGGGCTGGGTGAAGAGCTAGTGAGTGTGCAACAAGCCCGGCCCTTGGGAGGCAGAGAAGGGACTCATCACACAGTTACCACAGGTCAAAGAGCAAAGCAGTGACAATACTGTCTGCCCTCAAGTTTGGGCCAGGGATTGGGCCACCGGGCCAACACCTCAGTAAAGTTTTTTTTTTTGTTTTTTTTTTTTTTTTTTTTTGAGATGGAGTGTCCCTCTGTTACCCAGGCTGGAGTGCAGTGGTGTGATCTTGGCTCACTGCAACCTCCACCTCCCGGGTTCAAGCAATTCTCCTGTCTCAGCCACCCAAGTAGCTGGTATTACAGGCATGCACCACCATGCCCAGGTAATTTTGTATTTTTAGTAGAGACAGGATTTCTCGATATTAGTCAGGCTGGTCTCAAACTCCTGACCTCAGGTGATCCGCCCACCTTGGCCTCCCAAAGTGCTGGGATTATAGCCGTGAGCCACTGCACCTGGCTTGGGGGTTAGATCTTTACCTTGTCCTTTTTTTTTTTGAGACGGAGTCTCGCTCTGTCACCCAGGCTGGAGTGCAGTGGCCGGATCTCAGCTCACTGCAAGCTCCGCCTCCCGGGTTTACGCCATTCTCCTGCCTCAGCCTCCCGAATAGCTGGGACTACAGGCGCCCGCCACCTCACCCGGCTAGTTTTTTGTATTCTTTAGTAGAGACGGGGTTTCACCGTGTTAGCCAGGATGGTCTCGATCTCCTGACCTCGTGATCCGCCCGTCTCGGCCTCCCAAAGAGCTGGGATTACAGGCTTGAGCCACCGCGCCCGGCCCAAATTTTAAAAATTATTGGCTGGGTACAGTGGTTCATACCTGTAATCCTAGCACTTTGGGAGGCCAAGGTGGGTGGATCATTTGAGGTGAGGAGTTCAAGATCAGCCTGGCCAGTATGGTGAAACCCCGTCTCTGTTAAAAATACAAAAATTAGCCAGGCATGGTTGTGTGTGCCTGTAATCCCAGCTACTTGGGAAGCTGAGGCAGGAGAATCACTTGAACCCGGGTGGGAGAGGTTGCAGTGAGCCAAGATTGTGCCAGTGCACTCCAGCCTGGGTGATGGAGTGAGACTCTGTCGCAAACAAAAAAAAAAAGTATTTAAATAATTTTTTCTTTTTTAGACATAGTCTCGCTATGTTGCCTTGGTTAGTCTTGAACTCCTGGGTTCAAGCGATCCTCCAGCCTTTGTCTCCCAAAGTGCTGGGATTACGGGTGTAAGCCTCCACACCTGGTATACAATAAATAAAATTTTAAAATTAGCCAGGTACAGTGATGCATACCTATGGTCCCAACTATTCAGGAGGATCACTTGAGCCTGGGAGGTTGAGGCTGCAGTGAGTCATGATCCCGCCACTGCACTCCAGCCTAGGCAACAAAGGGAGACCCTGTTCCAAAAAAGAAAGGTGGGGGGAAGGGCCAGGCATAGTAGTTCATGCCTGTAATCCCAGCACTTTGGGAGGTCAAGGAGGGTGGATCACTTGAGGTCAGGAGTTAGAGACCAGCCTGGCCAACATGGCGAAACCCCGTCTCTACTGAAAATACAAAAATTAGCTGAGTGTGGTGGTGGGCACCTGTAATTCCAGCTACTTGGGAGGCTGAAGCAGAGAATCACTTGAACCCAAGCAGAGGTTGCAGTGAGCCAAGATTGTGATATTGCACTCCAGCCTGGGCAACAGAGTGAGACTCTGTCTCAAAATAAAAGACCCAAAACAAAACAAAACAAAAATCAATGAAGCTCTGGGTACAGAAGTCAGGCCCCTAAGTGCTGTTAGTGATAGAATGGGGGAATCAGAGACTGGCCACCAAATCCTAGACAGTTCAGGGGGCTGCAAACAGATCCCTGCTGTGGGTACCAGCCCTCCCACCTCACCCCCAGCCATCTTCTATGCTCAAAGTCCAGGACAAGACCTGCATCTAGAACGGAATCTCACTGCTCACCAGCCCCTTTATCAAGGGGAACATCAGTCCTGGAGACACGGAGGTGCAAGCTGAAACAAGACAGTATCATTTTCTCAGGACCTGGCGTCATCCTCAATAGCCAAAGGAGAGACAGATTCCATTCTGTTCCACTCTATGGCCTTGGCTGCCCTAACCTGATGGAGGGGGAGAGGCTGGGACCAGGCAATGAGGGGGCCCCTCACTCCCAGTTTGGCCCCCAAAGCCGCTGCACTGGACACAGGGAGGCTTCAGCAGTGTATCCTTCCTACCCACTGGGCCCGGCCAGGAAGTGTGAGGTAGAGTTGCAGTGTGGGTGCTCACAGGACATCTGGTCCGAGCACAGCGACTTGCTGTCATTCTTTCCTTCCAAGAAGCCACAGCTGCTTCCTATTTGCCTTTTAAGAATCTTGGCGGTGGTTAGGCCAGGTGCAGTGGCTCCCGCCTGTAATCCCAACACTTTGGGAAGCCGAGGTGGGTGGATCACAAGGTCAGGAGTTCAAGACTATCCTGGCCAAGATGGTGACACCCCATCTCTACTAAAAATACAAAAAAATTAGCCTGGATGGTGGCAGACGCCTGTAATCCCAGCTACTTGGGAGGCTAAGGCAAAAAATTGCTTGAACCCAGGAGGCCGACACTGAAGTGAGCCAAGATCGCACCACTGCACTCCAGCCTGGGCAACGGAGTGAGATTCCGTCTCAAAAAAAAAAAAAGAATCTTGGTGGTGGTGACAGGTTAAGGCCAAGAAACCAAACCAGTTCGATATGACTCACACTGTCAGTGCCAGGGGTTGGGGGAAGAGGCCCTGGCTGATGTGACAAGTGGAAGTACCATGGATTTTCAATCTGAACACCAGTGTCTACGTCCCAGCTATACCACTCCTTAACAGCAGGACCTTGACTCCAAGCATATCACTTGATTCTAGCCTGTTTTCTCCTCTACACAATGAGGCTAACAGCACACCTCACAAGAGTGTGGTAAAAGTTAAAGCACTGTGAATACATACAATTGTCATCAATACTGTACCAACTGCCCTGATCCCTGCCTTCAGGACAAACTGGGAGGTGCCTGAGCTTCCCACCCCTTCTCCCTAGAGGCCAGCCTCCCTGCTCCTCCCCCAGCCCTGAGGAACATGGTGTGACCAGGTGGTGTTGGGAACCTGGTGTCCTCTCAATTGCACTCCAGGTACGACAGCTAGGAACATCAGAGTGATCAAGTGTGGTCATCAGAGAACAAGGTTCAAAACCAACAGGCAGGGCCAGGTGGAAGCCGGAGCAGGGGTGGGAGCTGGCCGGGCAAACACTGCACTTTACACAACAAATGGGAGGCCTTGGGAAGAGGAGCAGCAGGACAGAGGGAGGGAAAAAGGGCAGCCAGGCGCCCAGGACACAAGGGAGCAGCGTAAGGTCAGTGCACTGCCCCGGGCCTCATCCCATGCCCATGCCTCCCCTCACCCCAAGACAACCCTGGGCCTTCCCCACACGTGCTGCTCCCGAGAGTGGGTGGGTTTAGCCTCCCACTCCTCAGCCCGACGGGCTGGAAGTCAAGGGGCAGGAAAGAACACGAGGCTCCGGGGCACCTCCAAGGGCTGTAGAGGACTCAGAAATCAGAACCAGAACATTTTTACTCTTTGGGCCCTGGGGAGGGCCAGGCAGAGTGCAAGGTGTCCACAGGAGGGATGAGCAGAGAACAGCCATGGGGGGCTGCAGTCTCAGTTCCCTGTGGGGGAGGACTGAGGTGAGGTGAGCTTGGGCTCTGGAAGGGCTCCAGTCCTGGTGCCCGGTTCTGACACCTGCCCCTCCTGAGTTCACACTGGAGTCCTTGCAGTCCTAAAACCACAAGGCCTGCCTGAACCCCGGGTCAGGAGAGAAACATCTGGGGACGGGAAAGGCCGGCATAGGCTACCCATGGCAGCTCTTGAGTTCTTCCTGGGGCTTGTGTCTTTCCTTGGAAGACGACGGCACAGCCAAGGCAAGGAGGGCCTGAAGCCTGCGGGGCCATCCTGGCCTGCCAGAGCCATGCCCCCGACTCCTCAGCTTCAAAATCAGAGGTCTCAGCACAGAGGACGCTGGGTGGGCTCAGAGCTCATCAGGGGGGCTGTGTGTTAGAGGGGATGCCTTCTGGATGCCCTCATCCTCCTCGGGGCTGGGGTCTCCCTCAAGGCCACCCAGCTCCTTCCTTTGTTTGCTGCTGCTACTCCTGCCGCCTGCTGCCTTGGCCCTGCTGCTCTTCTTCTTGGACTTCTTCCCTCCCAGGGAAGCTGTGTCTCCCTTCTTGCCGGACCACTGCTCTGCCAGGCAACCTAGGGTGTGGAGGAGAGAGACCCTCAACAGAAGTGCCTCAGGGCTGGGGTGCTGGGTGAGGAGCAACGAGCAGGGAGCCGTAGTAGCAACTGGGACTGTGCTTGACATCAGCCTCCCTGCCTCCTGCCTCTCGCTGTGGCCACCAGGCCCCTCTGGGGGCATCTGACTTGTCTGCTCATCATTCTGCACCGGGTTTCAGTGACTCTTACTTCCACCATGTCTTGCCAAGCAAGCCTTCCGAGGGCAGAGATCCTACAATGCCCTCTGGTGCCCTCTGTTTCTCCTCCTACCCACCACCCCTGAGGGAGAGCAAACAAATCATCCAGAGCAAACTTCCTTTCCCACACTCACTGGTGTCTTTTCCCTTCAGCACGTGGTTGGCGCAGAGGAATTCAGTCAGGTCTTCCTCCTGGTGGTTCCTGTACCAGTCCTCGATCACCTCCTCAAACTCTTCCACCAGCACGTCGCACTGTTAATCATAACACCTCACGTTGGCAAAGCCCCAGCACCTTACTCACTCCTAGAGGAGCTCAGCTAAGCCTTGCAACCCACTGCAAGGTAGGCAGTGGCAGTGGTTCACCTAAGGAAACTGAGGCTAGAGAGGTGAAATGACCTGACCAAAGCCACCCTGGCCTGGGTGGCCCTCCTCAGAGCAGACCCAATCCCCACCGGCCCCTCACTGGGCATAGCAACCCTTCCAAGGGCTGAAGGGCCTGTACCTGCTTCTTGAGGTCAGCCACCTCTGCAGAAGTCTCGTTCCACAGCTCATAGGGGATGTCCATCACCACCTTGACCCCTTTGTGTACCAGGTTGTGTAATGTCTCAAAGGTCTCTGACATGCCCTGGAAGAAGCGACCAGACATGGGAGGCAGAGCTCCCTTCTCTCCCTCCTACCCTCCTCTCCCAGTGGTGCCTATGAACTCAGCTGTAAGACCAATGCCCAATGCCCTCTAAGGATCCTCATCCTTTTTTTTTTTTTTTGAGAAGGAGTCTCACTCTGTCACCCAGGTTGGAGTGTCTCAGCTCACTGCAACCTCTGCCTCCCAGGTTCAAGTGATTTTCCTGCCTCAGCCTCCACGCCTCCATGCCCAGCTAATTTTTGTAGAGATGGGGTTTTGTCATGTTGGTCTCGAACTCCTGGCCTCAAGTGTTCCACTCGCCTCAGCCTCCCAAAGTGCTGGGATCACAGATGTGAGCCACTGCACCCGGCCTCATCCTTGACCTGACCTTCCTCTCCCCTTTTAGGCCTGCTTCCCACAACCCCTGCACATATACCCCTTGACCTGCCTCTGGACACCTCATCCTTTCTTTTTTTTTTTTTTTTTTGAGACGGAGTCTCGCTTTGTCGCCCAGGCTGGAGTGCAGTGGCCGGATCTCAGCTCACTGCAAGCTCCGCCTCCCGGGTTTACGCCATTCTCCTGCCTCAGCCTCCCGAGTAGCTGGGACTACAGGCGCCCACCACCTCGCCCGGCTAGTTTTTTGTATTTTTAGTAGAGACGGGGTTTCACCATGTTAGCCAGGATGGTCTCGATCTCCTGACCTCGTGATCCGCCCGTCTCGGCCTCCCAAAGTGCTGGGATTACAGGCTTGAGCCACCGCGCCCGGCCGACACCTCATCCTTTCAAAGAGACCTGTGGCTGCCCTCAGGCCTTTTGGCTTTATGCATGCTTTTCCAGGAAATAGGTTTGTCTTAGCTCTTTCCCCTCACTATGGCTGGACACACTCCCATAGATCCAGACCTGCTGTTCCATTCTTCCTGGGTTGTGTCTTTTCTCAATGGGAAAAAGGCACAGCCAAGGCAGGTAGACCTTTATTCTGTGAAAACTATCTCTGTTAGCTACCTAGGTCTTATCCAAAAATAAAACATACTATCCATTTCCTCTTTTTTCCCAGAGATAACTCATACAAATACCAACATCTAAATATATCCTCCCCCCAGCCCCTTTTTACACAAGCAGTGGTATAGCATACATACTATTTTGCACTTGCCCTTTTTACTTATACCTTGAAGGGCTGGGCGCGGTGACTCACGCCTGTAATCCCAGCACTTTGAGAGGCCAAGGTGGGCTGATCACCTGAGGTCAAGGGTTTGAGACCTGCCTGGCCAGCATGGTGAAACCCCGTCTCTACTAAAAATACAAAAATTAGCTGGGCGTGGTGGTGGGTGCCTGCAATCCCAACTACTCAGGAGGCTGCGGTGAGAGAATCGCTTGAATCTGGAAGGTGGAGGCTGCAATGAGCTGAGATCCTGCACTCCAGCTTGGGCAACAGAGTGAGACTGTCTGCAAAACAAATAAAAACCTTGAAGATCCATTTAATTCAGTTCCTAAAGAGCCTCCCCATTCTTTGTTTCCAGCCGCATACTAGTCCACCAGACGGCCGGATCAACGTATTTAATCCTCTATTGGTGGAGTTAGATTGTTTCTCACTTTTTTTTTGGCTATGAAAAATAATACTTAAACACTTTTTATTAAAGCAAACACAGATTTATTACTGAGTAGACTGCAAAATTCATACAAATTTCTGCTGCTTGAGACTATACCCTTAGGTATCCCAGAAGTTTATGAATGGTATCCTTTGCTAGGAGGAAACTTAGGTAGAAAAATGTGGGTGGCAACTATCTTACCCTGTGCCAGGCACTGAAGATGTAGAGAGGAAGCAGTATGGGCCTTGTTGTAAGCAGCTCATTCTCCAGAGAGAGAAGCACTCATGCACATACTGAGTACATGGGATGTCACACAGGCACCCCAGTGGGGTTGTGGGAGGTGCTGTGTGGGCCCAGAGATGGGACTGGGCAGTCACTCACCCCAGGTGTCCTCTGATATTTCACCTAAACCCCCACCTTTCTGCACATCCTGGATCTTGCTGAGTTCTCCCTCTCTAGTGTCTTTAGGTTCCCATGGGGGCAGCAACTTTGGAGCATTTCTGCCTGTGTCTGAGATTGAAGCAGGACCCTCATGGACAGGCCTAGATCCTCATGCATGTGCCTGAAAAGTCAGGCCACTCAGGAGTGGAGGAGGGCAAACGGCAATCAAAGAATGGGAAGAGGCAAGGAGGGAAGCTCCCGGTGGTGATCTTCAAATCACACACCAGCAGACACACTAAGATACATGCAGCCTGTCCCCAGAGCAGAGGAAGGACAATCCTAAATCCAACCTTGGCAAATCGGTTGCTGCCGGTCCTCTCCTTGTGCAGGCTATAATCCAGGAGCCTCTTGCAAATGGTCTCAGTGACTTCGATTAACCGCAAGTCCCTGCCAAGATAGCAGGACGAGAGGAACTGAGTTCCCCTCCTAGCCCCAGTGGGTTAGTGGTCTGTCCCTCCAGCCCTGTGCCCCAACACCTGCACATCTCACCAACGGGAAGTGAGTCAGAGCTGGAAGGAAGATAGGTCATCTGGTCTGGGGGATCTGAAATGCTGGAACACAGACCAGAGAGACAAAATTTTAACAGCTCTAAGGGAAGGAATTTTTTATAAAGCTAAATGATTCAGTATTTAGATTTTCTGATAAAGCAAAATATATTAAATTTTGATGGTAAAATATTCTCTTTGAAGGGATGATCACAGCTGACAGAATTGGGTTTTTAAAAAATATATTTATACTTGGCAAAAAAAAAAGTTGGTAATCCCATTACTAACGTTTTTTAAAAATTGCACTGTGGCCGGGTGTGGTGGCTAACACCTGTAATCCCAGCACTTTGGGAGGCCAAGGCAGGCGGATCATCTGAGGTCGAGTTCGAGACCAGCCTGACCAACATGGTAAAACTCCATCTTTACTAAAAAAATACAGAAAATTAGCTGGGTGTGGTGGCACATGCCTGTAATCCCAGCTACCTGGGAGGCTGAGGCAGGAAAATCTCTTGAACCTGGGAGGCAGAGGTTGCGGTGAGCCAAGATCATGCCATTGCACTCCAGCCTGGGCAACAAGAGTGAAACTCCATCTCAAAAAAAAACTTGAAATGGTCTGTGAAATCCAAGCGTCTGAGAATCAATGATATAGTCCAACCGTCTTGCTTTTAGAGATGAGAAATCTGCTGAAGTATAAAGAAGTTAAGAGATTTATGCAGGTCATCCAATTAGTTGGGGACAAAACCAGTGGGCAAACTCAGGTCTTGGTTAAAACTGATGCCCTTGTAGGGGGTTTGCCTAGTTAGGAGAAGGGAACTCCAAGCCCCTGAAGCCTCCAGCAGCAATGCAGGCCAGGCCGGTGAGTCCCCATTCACTTACGACTTGGTGTATTTGACTCCAGAGGCCTTCTGGTCCAGGATGCCATAGCCCGTGCCAATCACCTCCTTCGTCTTGCCGGTTTCCTCAAAGGCTGACTTCAGCTCCACAGCAACATATTTACACACTGGGGGAGGGAGGTAGCACAGCCCACTGAGTGCACATGAGTCTAACGGGAGGCCAGCTCCCAGCAAAACAGATCCAGGTGGGCATCCTTTCCTAGACTGGAGGACCAAAATCAACACTCAAGGCAGGGAAGGAGTTAGAACCTGTGGAGGCTAAAGCAACTCCATCTTGGATGCTAATATGCCACATTGACTTCTGATTAACCCCAGTTCTAGGAATGCCTCTAGGATTTCTATTTTATCTACTGTTTCTTGTGTAAGAGCATGTACTTACTGCAAATCCTGCCCTTAAGCAATTGTTCTTCGTATCCCTTTTTTTTCAAGATGGAATTTTGCTCTTGTTGCCCAGGCTAGAGTACAATGGTGACATCTCAGCTCCTGGGTTCAAGCGATTCTCCTGCCTCAGCCTCCCAAGTAGCTGGGATTACAGGCATGCACCATCACGCCCGGCTAATTTTGTACTTTCAGTAGAGACAGGGTTTCATCTTGTTGGGTAGACTGGTCTCGAACTCCTGACCTCAAGCGATCCACCCACCTCGGCCTTGCAAAGTGCTGGGATTACAGGCATGAGCCACCACGCCAGGGCCTATCATTTTACTTTCTAAAATTGCATACATACAGAAAAGCTGAAAGAATACAATGAATACCTTCCACTTGTATTCAACAGTTGTTAATAGTTTGCCACATTCTGTCTCCAATATATAATACCTCAACAATATATATATTATTTTTGCTACATCATCTTGAGAGTAAATGGCAAACATGACCTTTTGCCATAAATATATCATCATGTATCTCCTGAAAGCAAGGACCTTCTCCTACATAACCAAAGAACAATTATGACACTTGGAAAATTAACAATTCCAACGTCACCCAGTAGTTCATATTCAGATTTCCTTAATTGTCCCCAAAACGTCTTTTATAGTTGTTATATTACTTGATTTCATATATGTTCCAACGTCAGCTCTCTATTTCTACCAAGTTAATTTGCTCCATGCCCTCCAGGGAGCTCTTGTTCCTACTGTCTCCGCACATTTATTTCCTTATTTCCTCTTACCCTTCCTCAAATAGGTATTAGGCAACTCCTATGTGTCAGCCTGGGGATACAGAGATGAAAACAAGGTCCCCTCCCTTCCAGATACTCAGTCTAATGGAGCAGATAAAGGTGTAGACAAATAACTACCACTGTGTAAGGAGTGCTACAATGCTACCACCGAGGGTGTGAAGTGCCTGAAGCCCTAGGAAAATACTTAATGCCTTCTAAGGGCTTCTCTGCCCATCCTGCCCACCTCACATTATAAGCCTCTCCCCCAGGAAGCCATTCTGCACTAATGCCAATTGCTCTAGATTTCACTCTGGGCCTCTGCAGGATCCATCCCTAAGGACCCTTGGTCATTTCATGTGTCTCTCCACAAAGACCACAAGGGTCCCCAAAATGTGCATTATTAGATTTTTTTCTGTATTTCCTTAGCCTGTGACTTGATATATCTTGGATGCTTGATAAATCTTGTTGATAGAGACCGTCTTCTGATGCCCCTGAATGGAATACCAGTCTGCAGGCTAAATGCCATCAGTAGTTTTAACACTGACAGCACAGTCTGGTAGAATACCAATTCTGGTAGAATACCGCAAAAATAAATACATCCCCTGGAGGCCTGCGTGGTGAAATTCATTGATTTGGAGAATTTGCAACACATAAAAATTCCAAGTAATAAGCTGGTGATCTTCAAATCTGCAATGAATTGGGGATGTCCCACCTCCCCAGCTCTCCATCCAGGACCGTCTGGGCTCCCTCCCCTCTTCTGTCCCGTACTCTGTACAGGCGCATCATTTTTCTGGCACCACTTGTCCCTCCTCCCACGCCCTCCCCAGGAGTGGGGAAAGGGGAGGTTTGGAACATCCTTTCTCTCTTATACCCATCAAACACAACTTTGCTTTCCAGCTCTCCCAAACATTACCTCTTTAAGACCTCCTCTGGGGATCCCACCCAGAACCAGACTCGGAGGAGACTCATGGCACAGACCCCAGACCCTCACTGACATCCACCCACTCTTTTTTTCTGGGCAGGTTCTCCTTCCTCTGTGCCGGGGCCTGTTCCACTCAGGCTACTGAGCCAGGAGGCAGGCTTGGTGGGCTAGACACAGTCAGCATTTAATAACAAAGGTGTAATAATAATAAATACAAACAAATACAATATTAAGATGAACCTAATGGTTGGAGTTTGCCAAACCATCCTGTGACTGCAAATCCCTTTTCAATTAATCTTCACCAGTTACTAAATGAGGTTAGGCTAGAATGATCTCTAAGATCCTGGGCATCTCTATGCTTCTGTGAGTAGTGAATGTTGCCTAAGGAGAATAAATGTGAGCTTCTTAGATTATCAGAATAATAAGAGGGACAGCATGAGCTCTTTGATATCAGAAGAAGATAGAATACAGGCCGGGTGTGGTGGCTCACGCCTGTAATCCCAGCACTTTGGAAGGTTGAGGCAGGAGGATCACCTGAGGTCAGGAGTTCAAGACCAACCTCGCCAACATGGTGAAATCCCATCTCCACAAAAATACAAAAATTATCCGGGCATGGCCGGGTGCGGTGGCTCACGCCTGTAATCCCAGCACTTTGGGAGGCCGAGACGGGCAGATCACAAGGTCAGGAGATCGAGACCATCCTGGCTAACATGGTGAAACCCCATCTCTACTAAAAATACAAAAAAATTAGCCGGGCGTGGTGGTGGGTGCCTGTAGTCCCAGCTACTGTGGTCCCAGCTAAGGCAGGAGAATAGCCTGAACTCAGGAGGAGGAGCTTGCAGTGAGCCGACCACTGCACTCCAGCCTGGGCGACAGAGCGAGACTCTTTTCATTGCACTTCAGCCTGGGCGACAGAGGGAGACTCCGTCTCAAAAAAAAAAAAAAAAAAAAAAAAAAAAAATTACCCGGGCATGATGGCAGGTGCCTGTAATCCCAGCTACTCGGGAGGTTGAGGGAGGAGAATCGCTTGAATCCTGGAGGCAAAGGTTGCAGTGAGCCTAGGTTGCGCCACTGCACTCCAGCCTGGGCAACAGAGCAAGACTCCGTCTCAAAAAAAAAAAAAAAAGCCACATGAATCCTAACCAGCCTGGGGGCAAAAAAAAAGAAAAAAACAAAAAAAAAAAAAAAAAAAAAAAGGCCAGGCGCAGTGGCTCATGCCTGTAATCCCAGCACTTTGGAGCCGAAGTGGGCGGATCACGAGGTCAGGAGATCGAGACCATCCTGGCTAACATGGTGAAACCCTGTGTCTACCCAGAAAAAAAAAAAAAAAAAAAAAATTAGCCGGGCATTGTGGCAGGTGCCTGTAGTCCCAGCTACTCGGCAGGAGAATGGAGTGAACCCAGGAGGCGGAGGTTGCAGTGAGTTGAGATCGCATCACTGCACTCCAGCCTGGGCAACAGATCGAGACTCCCTCTCAAAAAACAAAAAACGAAAAAGGCCGGGTACGTTGGCTAATGCCTGTAATCCCAAACCTTTGGGAGGCCGAGGCGGGCGGATCACCGGAGGATCTGGTGAGCCGAGATAGCGCCATTGCACCCCAGCCTGGGCAACAAGAGCGAAACTCATCCCCCCCCACACACACACACAAAAAAGGTTATCAGGACTAGAGGAAGAGTGAAAGGGCGGCTGGAAGCAGAAGCTCACGCCTGTAAGCCCAGCACTTTGGGAGCCCAAGGCGGGCTGATCACTTGAGGTCAGGAGTTCGAGACCAGCCAATATGGTGAAACCCCATCTCTACTAAAAATACAAAAATTAGCTGCGCATGGTGGCATGCGCCTGTAATCCCAGCTACTCAGGAGGCTGAGACAGGAAAATCGTTTGAACCTGGGAGGCAGAGGTTGCAGTGAGCAGAGATCACACTACTGCATTCCAGCCTGGGTAACAGAGCGATACGCCGTCTCAAAAAAAAAAAAAAAAAAAAAAAAAAAGAAAGAAAAAAAGAAAAGAAAGGGGGAAGGCACAGGCTTGAACTCATACTTGGTGCCCCACCAGTGAAGTCGGCTTATCTCTAAAGCATCGCCTTTTAATCTCTCTAATGGAAGGATTATGTGTCCCAAACTTACCCCAAACCCACTTTCCAGTGTTTAGGGAACATCTGGCCTGATGTAGGCTTTCAATTCAGATGAGAGGTTCACAGCCAACTTTCTGGGGGCCCTAGGGTTACGGGGCTGGGAAGGCAGGCATGACTGTAAGGTCTGAGGAGAAAACTGATGGACGGAGGGGAGGAAAAAGAAATAGATCCTTTATAGCTGGCTTGCTGGTAGCTCCCTCTCTGTAGTTCCTCAACGCCTACGTCCTTGGGACTCACCTTTTCTCCATACTCCTAAAATCTTCTTTCAAGTTCCCCATAGGCTCTACTGTTCCCCCAAAGGACCCCTCAGACCCAGATCCTCCTCCTCACATCCCCACAGTACTCCACTTAATCTTCTGTATTCTCAAAACATTAATTGAGTGCCTACTGGATACTGTGTGAATGCGTATCTAAGACAAAGTCCCTGCCTTCGAGGAGCTGTTAGTGGGTGCAACAGACAACTACACAGATTGGGTTACAGTGAGGTCACAAACGGGAAAGTCTTAGGTTCTTTTCCCCCAAGACGAGTCATCTGGAGCTTTTCAGTTCCTCAAACTCGTTCTTGGCTTCTCAGCCGGCAGGCCTCCGCCTCTGTAGTTTCCTCTGAGTGAGCCCCTCTCTTTCCACTTCTCTTCACCCGGCTAACTCCTAATGCCTCTTCGTGCTTCCTGTATGAATCCCTCTCTGACTCCCCTCTGCACACAGTCTTCGCCCACCCCCTCCCCCACTCCAGGCTAGACCAGATGCTCCTCGCCCGGCCCCTAAGAGGAAGCTCTGTACCTCCCCTATCATGGCATCTCCTACTCTGAATTATCATTGCTTGCTTCCACCAATGTGTGAACTCCAGGGGTACCAGAACCAGACCTCCAGTCCGCCGCAGCATTCCAGCGCACTGTACGTTCAGAGACGCTGCAGAGCTCGGAACCTTGCAGCCCCCGACGCTGCTCCGCAAGGGATGCCCCTGGAGCCCGCCCCTCCGGCAGGATACGCCCCACGGGCCCCGCCTCCTCACCTTCGCATTTGCTGGGCAGGCGAACCCAGTCGTTCTCCTCAGCTCCGGCCTGGCTCGGGCCCAGCTCCGGGGCAGGCAGCAGCAGAAGCAGCAGCAGCAAGGGAAGAAGCAGAAGACAGCGCGACGCGGGCTCAGGCAACAACTCCATGGCCCAGCCGGGCCCGACCCGAACGGACCGGGCGGCACCTCCTCCCGCGGCGCGCGCGGAGCAGCTTCCCCGCGCCGCTTCCGGGGCTGCACACGTGCCTCCGCGTAACCACGACAACAGCCAGCCTCCCGCCCGCCCTCCTCTCGCCGCCGCAGCCCGCCTTCAAAGCAGACCAAAGCTCGCGGACGGCGCAGCCAATAGACTTTCTGGGGTTTGCCCCCTAACGAATGGGAGGACTACCTTTTTACGGCCTTGGCCAGTAAGAGAGCAGATGGTGCCCTCAGAGACCTATGGCAACGTCCTTTCCCACCCCCTAACGGAGGCTCTGGGAGAGGATGCAGGACCAGGACCCGGGGAGAAGAAGCCTGTGTCTGGGCCTGAGTGGGACGCATTCAGGCGCGCAGGTGCTGGAAGATGTGTGGAAGGCCGGCTTCGCGGCTTTCTCCGCCTCTTCGAACGTCACTTCCCTCCTGGGTTCTTAATGCCGCAAGTCCTTACTGAACACCTGTTTTTAAATGTTATTATTATTGGTGTTGTGGTTGTTATAGCCAGACACTCTTGTAGGCGCTTAGGGTGCGAGCAGGACGACTCAGACTGTCCCCAGCCTTCAAGATTTGTCCTAGTGAGAACTAGAACAAATGACTTCCTCTCTGAGCCTGTTTCTATTTGTATGACAAAGTGATTCTCCTAGCTGCTGTGTGAGCTTGCCTGTTGTTGGGAAGCTCAAATAGGTTAATAGAATTACAACTTACCGAGCAGACTGTAAAAAGTTCAGGCATTAATTTGCTTTTTGTATGTAATCCCAGCCCCTTTTACTGCCCTATTATTTATTTCTTGATTCTGCCCTCTCAGAAGGCAGGAATTTGGCCGATTAACGATTGTCTCTCCCTTCCGCTTCCTCAGCAACAACAGGGTGCCTGGCACAAGGAGATACTCGGTAAATCTCCCATCGGCTGTGTCATTAAGAGGAACACTTAATGGCTCACGCCTGTAATTCTAGCACTTTGGAAGGCCCAGGCGGGAGGATCACTTGAGCCCAGGAGTTAGAAACCAGTCTGGGCAACAGGGTGAGACCCTGTCTCAAAAAAGAAGAAGAAGGAAAAAAAAAGCCCAGGTGCCCTGGCTTACGTCTGTAATCCCAGCACTTTGGGAGGCCAAAATGGGAGAACTGCTTGAGGCCTGGAGTTCGAGACCAGCCTGGTCAACACAGCAAGACCCCATCGCAAAAATAAATAAATCAACCAAAATAAAAAATAAAGAGGAGGCCGGGCTCGGTGGCTCATGCCTATAATTACAGTACTTTGGGAGGCCAAGGCAGGCGGATCACGAGGTCAGGAGTTCAAGACCACCCTGGCCAAGATGCTGAAACCCCCTCCCTACTAAAGATACAAAAAATTAGCCGGGCGTGGTGGCGCCAGGCTATAATCCCAGCTACTCGGGAGGCAGAGGCAAAAGAATTACTTGAACCTGGGAGGCGGAGGTTGCAGTGAGCCAAGATCACGCCATTGTACTCCAGCCTGGGCGACAGGGTGAGACTCTGTCTCAAAAATAATAAAGGCCGGGCACGGTGGTTCATGTCTGTAATCCCAGCACTTTGGGAGGCCAAGGCAGGTGAATCGCAAGGTCAGGAATTGGAGACCAGCCTGGCCTATATGGTGAAACCCCCTCTCTACTAAAAATACAAAAAAATTAGCTGTGTTGGTGGGCGCCTGTAGTCCCAGTTACTTGGGAGGCTGAGGTGGGAGAATCGCTTGAACCCTGGAGGTGGAGGTTGCAGTGAACTGAGATTGCGCCACTGTACTCCAGTCCAGTGACAGAGCGAGACTCCATCTCAAAAAATAAAAATAGGCCAGGCGCGGTGGCTCACGCCTGTAATCCCAGCACTTGGGAGGCCAAGGCGGGCGGATCATGAGGTGAGATCAAGACCATCCTGGCTAACACGGTGAAACCCCGTCTCTACTAAACAAAATACAAAAATTAGGCGGGCGTGGTGGTGGGCGCCTATAGTCCCAGCTACTCAGGAAGCTGAGGCAGGAGAATGGTGTGAACCCGAGAAGCGGAGCTTGCAGTGAGCCGATATCGTGCCACTGTACTCCAGCCTGGGCTACAGAGCGAGACTCCGTCTCAAAACAAACAAACAAAAAATAAATAAAAATAAAGAGGAGCACTCTTGGTTTTGAGGTCTTCTTCAGGCTGCCCCTGAACTCAGTGTCCTTGTAGAGACCAAAGTTGCTTCTCTGGGAAGTTGTCTGCAAATCGGCCATAAAACCCTGTTCCCTGATACCTTCTTGTTTCCTTCCTAGATGTTGGATATTTATGCTAGTTTATGAAGACTTCAGAGCACTGAGGCCCAGGCCTTGACACTTTCTGACCTCAGTTTCTTGTCCAAAACAACTGTGTTGGTAACAAGGCACTTTGGATAGGCGGGGGCTGTGGCATGTGGCATTCCGCAGTGTACAAGATCAGGACACCGTCCTGAGGTCCTCCATGTTTTCTAGGCTTGATAAGACTTAGGTAGGCTCAAGCTGGGCACGGTGGCTCACACTCGTAATCCCAGCACTTCAGGAGGCTGAGGCAGGCAAATCACTTGAGGTCAGAAGTTCAAGACCAGGCCGGGCGCGGTGGCTCAAGCCTGTAATCCCAGCACTTTGGGAGGCCGAGACGGGCGGATCACGAGGTCAGGAGATCGAGACCATCCTGGCTAACCCGGTGAAACCCCGTCTCTACTAAAAAGTACAAAAAAAACCCCAGCCGGGCGAGGTGGCGGGCGCCTGTAGTCCCAGCTACTCGGGAGGCTGAGGCAGGAGAATGGCGTAAACCCGGGAGGCGGAGCTTGTAGTGAGCTGAGATCTGGCCACTGCACTCCAGCCTGGGCGACAGAGCGAGACTCCGTCTCAAAAAAAAAAAAAAGAAGTTCAAGACCAGCCTGGCCAACATGATGAAACCCTGTCTCTGCCAAAAAATACAAAAATGAGCCAGGCATGGTGGCACGTGCCTGTAGTCCCAGCTACTCAAGAGGCTGAGGTGGGAGAATTGCTGGAATCTGGGAGGCAGAGATTGCAGTGAGTCGAGATTGCACCACTGCACTCCAGCCTGAGGAACAGAGTTAGACCCTGTCTCAAAAAATAAAATAAAATAAAATAATAAACTTGGATAGGCTCAGAGCTTGGCCATGGCCCTTAATTCACCTCAGCTCAGAAGCCCTCCTGGGTAATAAGATTAAGCCAGCCTGACAGTGGAGATTGAGAGGCCTGGGCTCAGCATCTGGCCGGATAGCTGGGAAGGGATAGTGGCCAGAGAAAGTCTGAGGTTTGGCCCCTGCCCACCCCCTCTCTCAGTCTTTGTGTCAGGGAAGGAACATGCCTTGTGGGGATGGTGGACAGATTCATCCCTAGAAGCTGTGGGACCCTCCCACCCCCAGCCACCACCACCCAAGAATCCCCAAAGCAAGTGGGAGAATCTCCTTTCAGGCTGGTGAGAGATGAGCAGTGGAGGAGGCAGTGAGAGTTTTTATGGAACAGTAGCTGAGAGAGCACAGAGGCTCAGGGAAGCTGAGGGTGTCCTTGAAACCATGTGTTGGGGTGCTGGGGCACAGTTCCCCATCCCCTCCCTGGGGGAAGGAAGACTAAGGTTGATCCAGCAGACTATCCTATGGGGCCCAAGGGACAGGTGGATTTACATGAGAGCACCCAGAGTCTCTTGGAGTGATTGATTACTAGCGGAGAACCCTTGGGAAAGGCTAGATTTGCAGCCAGCACTGGGCAAGCAGGGGACACACACGTTATGCTCTACTGTGGAAGCCTCATACTCGATCAATGTAAGAATCTTCTTTAGGAAACAACCAAACCAAAAAAGCCAAGCCTCTTTAGTACCTGGCTCAGGGTTGATGCTCAAAGAATATTTGTCAAATGAATAATGACTCTTAATTGATTAATAAACTGTAAGTTTGGAATTAATACCTCATACTCTTGGCATTGAAAACGATCCTGTTCCCCGGAAACCCTGGCCCTGTTCACCTCTGTCGAGTCTGTACAAGAGTTCACATCGACCCAGCATCCACCTTCCTGGGTTCCTGGGCTCTCTGCCCTGATCTCTCACAGAGGTTGGGCCAGGGTAAGGAGAAGAGGGGGCCTCCCCACTTGCTGTGGGGTGAGGAGACAGCCGTGGGACAGCTGCCTTCCCAACCACCAGCCCCACTCTGTAGTTCCCAAGTTCTGTCTCAGGAAGCCCTCTTCCTCAAGGGAACCTTCCTGGATTTCTCCTACTTCTAACTCTGCCAAATTCCCTCCTCCCAGGATAGACATGAATTCAAACATTTCTCATTTGCTATGTCATTTAAGTTCTTTTTTAATGTTCTCAGTCATCTGCTCCCTAAATACCCCCGTAACTGGGTGGATCACCATTCTGGGGGGTGGAGGGGTGGCCTGGGGGAGGTAGAGCCGTGCCCTCAGGCAGCTCCAGCCTGCAGAGGAGGAGGCAGGTCACATGCAAAAAATGCTCCAAGACTCGAGGAAGGAATCCTGAGGTCAGATCTTGAGCACCAGGCCTGTGCTGGGCAGGTGGGGTATCTGCTGAGGTAAGACCCCTCCTCCCAGACTGGGCTCCCAGGCTTCCGACCCGGAGGGGTGTCACTCCAGCCATGGTCCCGAGGCTGGGGCCTGGGTGAACTGGTGGCCTCTCGTCCCCCAGTCTCCGTGGCCAGGTACAGTCGGTGGGAGCCGAGGGCTCGCAGGCGGGTGGCAGCTGCGGGGGAAGGCAGTGGGCCCTCGGGGTGGCGCAGGCGGCTGCAGGTCAGGAGCAGGTCAAACAGCAGCAGCTTGAAGAGCAGCAGCCGCAGCACCCCCAGCCACAGGACCCCGCCCGGCATCCCTGCGAGGAGGAAACGCTCAGGAGCCCGCAGGAGCCCGCAGCCCCCCACCCCAGGAGAGAACGTCCACGGAGGAGAGGGCCTTGTCCTCTGCCCTTGCCATTGCCCGTCCCCTTGACCCCCTCCTCCAGGGAAAGTCCATCCCGGTGTCTAGCCTCCGTTCTTACTGGTAATAATAAATACCTTCCTTGCCTTCATTTTATTTTATTCCCCAACAATCATGGGGGTAAGGGTGGGGGCCAGGCAGGACTTAGCATCTGACGCAGAGAGTAACTAGCTCAAAATTCTTTTTTTTTTTTTTTTGAGATGGAGTCTCACTCTGTCACCCAGGCTGGAGTGCAGTGGCCTGATCTCAGCTCACTGCAACCTCCACCTCTTGGGTTCAAGTGATTCTCCTACCTCAGCCTCCCGAGTAGCTGGGACTACAGGCATGTGCTACCACGCTTGGCTAATTTTTGTATTTTTAGTAGAGACAGGGTTTCACCATGTTGGCCAGGCTGGTCTCGAGCTCCTGACCTCGTCATCCACCCACCTCGGCCTCCCAAAGTGCTGGGATTACAGGTGTGAGCCACTGC